CTCGCTCCTGACCTTAGCTAGATGGATGACAGATAATCATTGATAACCTGTCTATTGACAGCCCTAGTATACCGTCATGGGGGAACGGGGACTGTCAATGATGCATCCTAGGCTACTGCAAAAAGACTGTGAGAGCAGAAGAAGCGGGGAGGAGTGTGGGTGTGTGTGTAGCCTTTCGTGTAGTGCGTAGCCTTTTGTGTAGTGCGTGTGTGTATGTTGCAGCCAATATGAGAGAAAGGCGGTTTCTTCCCCCACCATAATTTTAGGGACACATGGCGTCAGTCTGCCCTCATGCATACTCTCTCTCTCTCTCTCTCTCTCCTCTCTCTCTCTCTCGTGTTCTTTTGAATGCTCAGTGCTGTAGCTTTACACCAGAATAACTTCAAGGAGTCATTGTTTGGGACCACGAACGGGAATCTGTGCAGCACGTCCATTTTTAGAGATTCTCTCACTAATCAGGTAATTGCTGCAGACACTCAATCACTGCCTTTCAATGAAAACGATCCTCCTATGGAGGAATCTGCACCGAACGCATGCTGCACAGCATTGTCCACAGGAGAGTAGGCTGTGCTTGCCTTAGCCCTACAGCTCTTGCCTCTGTCTTGCAGGATTTTCTGTGGGTTCTATTTTGGGACAATATGAGGGACAATATGATATACCAGCATTCAAGCCTATACACTGCCTGTGCCTGCAACACATCCCCCATAGTCCTTGTCGTTTAGCTCCATAGTCCTTATTATAGGCTACAGCTATTATAAAAGGGATTGTTTTTTTGACCACTATCTCTGTAGTCAATCACTTCACATGCAAAGAATAATTTTACATTTTAGCAGACGCTCTTATCCAGAGCGACTTACAGTTAGTGAGTGCATACATTTTTCATACTGGCTCCCCGTGGGAATCGAACCCACAACCCTGGCGTTGCAAGCGCCTAATAATCAGTAGGCTATACCCTTTGGCACACCTAGCTATCTTTATTAACGTAACTTCTGTGCACATTTGACCCTGGCAAGCTTAGCGTTACAACAGGAGCGAGCAGATGGAGTCTCACGGTCATAAATGACTAATAATATACATGTTGGAAACTCAGCATAACACAGTGCTACATGAGCAAGTATTTAGACCCAGCAGCAATGGCACCACATTGTAAGCGACTGTGTGAGCAGGACCCAGAAATGGATCCAAATGTCTCAGCGGGTGGTGTGATCCACTGCATCACTCCACTCTGCCTGCCTGCCTGCCAGTGTGAAAAACCTAATATCTGCGCTGACACCCACGCTCAATGCAGACAGGGAAATGTTTCACAGTGCAGTGGGGAATGGAGGTGGTGTTTAAGTGTCATCATTCCAAGCCAGAGGATCTCGGCTCACTTAATGAAGGGGATTTGTAATTGATAAAGGGGATGCAGTCCAGGCGGCACGCTAGCTCTAGGCTCTCTCTCTCTCTCTCTCTCTCTCTGGGTAATGATGATTGAGGTCGTGGCCGGGCCCCCTTCGAGGTCTCTATGTCACTGTTTGGTCGTGGTGGACCCCCAAGGTAACCCTCTCACAGTCGGATATAAAAAAATACACACATGCACACAGGCACGCACGCACACACACACACACACATGAACACACGTGCACGCACCCATAAACACACACACAAACATGTATCCACTGTATACCCCCCCCCCCCCCCCCCCCCCACACACACACAGAGACAGACAGACAGACACACACACACACACACCATCAGGGCCAGCTGCGAGACAGACAGCTAATGAATGAGCTCCATCCAGCCGTTTAGTCTCATCCAACCAAACACTGGGCCATTAACTACTGCTTCTAGTAGCCAGGCTGGGCTAGCCCCCTTACTCTCCACACCAGATACATTCCTCTTTGGACAAATAGTATATTTACTATTTATTCTATTTATTATTTAGAACTTTGCAAGAGCACTACACAGAGCCTACCAGCAGTTGTTGGGTTAAGCATTTATGTTTAAATATAGGTAGAAAGGTGCTATGAATTGTTTATGAATGTGTTATGTCATCCTTATTTTGGGCGGCTGTACTAAAGCGTCACCCAAAAAACAACATGGGGTGTAGTTTGACGGAGAGAGAGACTGGTATAAAGTGCTACACTTTATATAGAGAAGGAAAGAAAAATGAAAAAAGTGCTTTGTTATTGTCCTCTCCATTCCTCCCTGGTGAAATGGTGTCACGGCTGAAGTTCCTGAGGGCCTTTGTTACAACAATATACTGTACATTGGTTTAAATAAGGGACCACTGTGACACTGGCCAGGAAAACCTAGTAGGAATTTGTCCACATCAAATGGCACACTGTTACTGGTATGCATGTATGCTGCTGTTTTGGCCTTCCTTGAAAAAAAGGGATTCTGAACCTCAATGGATTTCATCCTCAATTCTGACTCTCAACCTAAATGAATAGACTAGATGAAAATATAGTCTTCCACCTGGCATAGAAAAAGGCAGCTCAACTCAACATAACACTGTCTGTTTAATTGAGAATACAGTAAAGCCTAATATTCCGTCGAGCCTCAACACTTTTTCTCTAGTTTTCAGGTAGTACACAACACACTTGTGTTCTTTCAGTACAGCACATTGCCAATTTGTACCCTTTGTATGACTGAAGAAGGAAGAACCCCCAAAGGATCTATCCGTCTCTTGAGCTGATGAAAAAAAGCTGATAACGCGGTGGAAATGCACTCCCCTTCGCCCTCTCTCTCAGTGTTTATGGTCCTGCATTGACTGATTGCATTGTGATAGATTTTTCCCTCTCCTCCCTCCTTCTCTTCCCTCGTTGGTCCCTGGGCTCGCTCGCTGCAGAGCCGTTCCGCTAGGTTGCGCGGATGCCTCGACAGAGGGCGAGAAGAAACAGCTGCCTCGCATGAATTTACACTGGACGATTCACCAGCCGCCACTGCCCTAGCCATCGGCTGCTCTGCTCAGTCAGTGGAATCAGTCTGTTCTGTTGGTATCTCCTCTCATCTCCACTGAGCTATCAGAGGACTCCTGGCACTGGCAGACCAACAGGAGGCATTGCTACATGCAGTCCCCTTGTTTCCTTGTCTCATGATCTGAAAGGACTTGATAGAGAAGAGGAATGGCGGGTTAGAAAGAAAGGAATGTCAGCGTTTTCAATTTCTATTGTTCAATCCCATATTGAGAAAGATACATTGTGGCAACCAGATTGTCCTGGCCTGACCGGCACCTAGCAATTGCGGAAAAAAAATATATAGTCAGTGATGAGAGGTGAAACTCTCCACTTCTCTTACTGTAGAAAGACCATCGTGGGCCTAGGAGACCAAGATGATGATTCCAAATCTGTTCCGTTTAACCTATCTTTCCTACACTGTCCCCAGGAAACTGTCTGAAGATACTAGTATCAGTATCTGCTCCAACATGAAATATACTGTAGCTCTAATTAATGCTCTTTGACAGTATCTTTTGGGAACCTTATTGCAGAAGCTGAGAGTAACTGTCAAATGGGATGAGTGGATCAGCGTAGGCTAGTGGAATAGAAGTCAAAGCCCTTCTATGCTGGGTCTTTTGTGTAAATAGAGCAGAGTAGTAGTCATAAAGGGTATCACCTCACAGTTCAGACTGAGGAACAACTGTATGGAGAGGCTGGTCTCCAGATGTGAGAGAGATAACCATGTGTCCTACCCCTTCGATTCCAGACATCCATTTAACCCTGAAAATCAGCCCTGTACAAGAGATGTATTCAAATGTTCCGAATGTTGCAGATAAAAATATGTATCGAGTTGACCCAATTTCCTACTTTACAACATGAAAGCTTCATATATGTTCTACAGAATACATACAGTATCTCACTGAACATTCTGTAATGTTGCACCCTGCTGTAGGCCCATGGTACCCATTTAACCCTGACAATCAGATGGATACTATATACTGTAGATACACACTTCTCTCTTCTTTATACCACCTAATACCAGACAGCAACTTATCCCATTTATTAGCTCTACTAAATCACTCAGGTCATTCATTTCTCTAACAGACATATAACAGAACTGAATAGAATACAACTTTATTGTCCAACAGGAGAAAGGTGCCCAAATCAAGGTGACCTGATTGTGTGGAGACCGCATGCGATGAGGGCAAGCAGCCAACCACAACGGAGCAAAAGACAGGAGGGCACAGAGTTCACCTGAAGGGGTTTGGTTGAGGTGGGTATTGTGCCAATGGTAGGAGGCACTATTTTGGTGGCTGAAAGGAGAGGGGAGTTCGACTAATAAATTTTTTTGTTTTATGGGGTGAACCAAGCGGTTTTTCTGATATTATGTAAAGCAGTGGTCCATAGGAAGTATTAATTTGAGTGCTAATTGCTTTGACTTTATACTATTGGGAAATAGACAGGCAGTTCCCTCCTGTAAAATTGATTCAGAGACATTCCCTGGTTAAATCAGTCTCATTTCACTTGGACCTGGACATAAATTGTGTTTGAATATTACATAGATGAAAGAAAAAATGTAATCATGCTTTGAAATGTTTAAATCTTGTGGTAAATTGTAAATAAAAACCTACACTCTTCACCCTGAATTGGCTATACTAGATCTTTTGAAGTTGTCCAGACAGTCAATTTCATTCCAGCTATTTCAGGGACTGAGATATGACTTCAAAGAAAATAAGTTGTGTTTGAAAAATCTCTAGTCCTTTTCTATTAAACAGAACCTCTTCTGGGAATGGGAAGTAAACCCTTCAATTTGATATACCATCTTCAGTTAATTCCACTCATTATTAGTTCCTTCATCTAATCCCTGATGCACATGACGGGACTAACACCAGATTAGGCTCTATGCACACTAGACATCTAGAGCCCCCCAGTGGCACTACTTTCCAACTACATCTGACACACACTAAACCACCAAGGGCCAAATCCTAATTATTGCGCAAATCTCCCATTGCCATCAATGCACAATTTACATGAAAATATGTCGAAATAGGATTTGAAGTGAAAAGTCACACCTCTCAACCGTAAGGTCCTCAAGAAGCTTTATTTTCTTGACATGCATTTGGATATAAAAAGAGACATGAAAAACATGTGGGTTCTATTAATTTACAGGTAGAAAACAATTATGGCATGATCACAGCCTTTCCAAATGGCGATATGTGCAATACAACTGCATTGATATCCAATACTTCATCATATTGGATATGGGATCTGTCCTTCATGATATCTGCTAGGAGGCAGCAGCGCTGTGCCAAGCTACTGTCCAAACTCCAAAGGCTGATCTAAAGTCAGGGTTTGCGGTGGCGATGGGCTTGTCCGAGTCAATAGTTGTCCGTTGACTGATCTCAGGACAGTGTGGAGGGGATCCTTCTCCAGAGGCCTCCGCACAGGCAGTTCTTGATCCAGCGTTGCTCCCACTGCTTCATGGCGTTGGTCTTGTTGGGCGAGCGGAGCATGGTCACACAGCCACACCTGAGGTAGAGAGAGAGGTAGAGAGAGAGAGGTAGAGAGAGAGAGAGGTAGAGAGAGAGAGAGGTAGAGAGAGAGAGAGAGAGAGAGAGAGAGAGAATAAATACTGAAAAAAGGCTGAAAAAACAGGGTCGGGAAAATACAATCTTCAAATTGTTGCTTGGACCAACAAAGGTTCTTAAAAAAAGTTACATGTAGAGGGATATAATGATGTTAATGTTAAGGTAGAAAATAGGGGAAAGATGCAAGTGCTAGGGAGTGGGTGAAAGAGTAAGTGGTGTCTGACCGGGTGCAGGCTTTGCTCTCCTCTGTGGGGCAGACTCCCATGTGGAGACAACGTAGATTATCCATCCTCTGGGCCCCTGGGCTCCTGGAAACACACGTGCACACCCACACATTTTAGCAAATGGGCTGTTACTTTTTCAACTTTACAGCAGGCTGAGCTTCATCTGACCTTTGACAACAAACAGTGATCCAATGACAACTGTGTGTAGTGTGCTTTGAGTTTTCGCCTCAACATAGTACAGTGTCACTTGAGCACTATCCCCAATGTAACCCTAAAAAGTCTACCAGGTTCCCTAAAATACCCTTTTCTAAATGCCAGCTAGCCGGCTCCTGTGGGTCTCACCTGGAGAAGATCTCCACCTGAGCGGTGGAGTTGAGACCCGGCAGGCTGTAGGGTTTGCCAAACTGCAGCCGCAGCGGGTGCTTGCCCTGCAGCTTGCAGATGATGCCGTCGTTGACGGGCAGCCAGTCCATGCTGGGCACCAGCAGCTGGCTGGGCAGCAGGCAGCACTCGTCTATCAGCGGCTCATCAGGCTCCTGGGGGTGGCCCTCGTCCCGAGCTGGAGACATTCATGGGTGAAGGCCAGGCACACATACAGTGAGGTCTAAAAGTATTTGGACAGCAACACGTTTTGTTTGGGCTCTGTACTCCAGCACTTTGGATTTGAAATGATACAATGACTATGACGTTAACGTGCAGACTGTCAGCTTTAATTTGAGGGTATATTTATCCATATCGGGTGAACCGTTTAGAAATTACTTTTTGTACATAGTCCCCCCATTTTAGGGAACCAAAAGTATTTGGACAGATTTATTTACAGTATGTGTATTCAAGTAGTGAGTAGTATTTGGTCCCATATTCCTAGCACGCAATGACTACATCAAGCGTGACTCTACAAACTTGTTGGATGCATTTGCATTGCAAATGAATAGTAAATAATGTATTGTATCATTTTGGAGTCACTTTTATTATAAATAAGAACAGAATATGTTTCTGAACACGTATACATTAATGTGGATGCTACCATGATTATGGATAATCCTGAATGAATCTTGAATAATGATGAGTGAGAAAGTTACAGAGGCACAAAGATCATACCATCAAGACATGCTACCCTCTCACCATAACCAATAACAGGGGGGTATGATATTTATAACTTTCTCACTCAACATTATTCACAATTCATTCATGATTATCTGTAATCCACATTAATGTAGTTTAGAAACCTATTTTATTCATATTTACAATAAAAGTGACAAATAAAATGACAATATATTATTTACCAATCATTTCTATTGGGCACAAAATAATCTGAAACAACAAAAACAAACTACAAATGCATCCAACAAGTTTGTAGAGTCACAAGCTTGATGAAGTCATTGCGTGCTGCTTTTGACTACTTTAATACAGTAAGTGAATTTGTCCAAATACTTTTGGATATTGGGCAGGGCTCCCCAACCCAGTTCCTGGAAAGCTACTAGGGCTGGGTAATTTGGCCTAAAAATTCATATCTCGATTTTTTCAAATTCATGGGCAATTCACGATATATATCTATAAAATTTTTTGTATGTTCTCTAAATAAGCTAGTTGTACAATTAAAAGTCAAATACACTGCATTTCAAACAGTCAGCAATAATCGAACGAATTCAGGGCTTGTGAAATTATACCTAGGCTAAATATAAGCCTTCCACAACCATAAGACCCACTAATAATTTAATTATTTTATCAAAATAGTTTAACCTGCTTTTTTGCAAAAATCACTGATCTGGTTTTCAAGTCTGTCCCTTTTCGTTTACAAATTTAACCACAATCATGCATAATGCACATTCACTAATAATGTCCATCTTCTTGTAGCATACATTATAGAAAATTAACACAGATCTCATAATCAACCTCTCAAGCACAAGCTAGTGAGCAGCCAGCTAATCTTTATATTTAAAGTCTAGCCAACTTGGATCTATTTGCTAGCAAACAAGGTAGAACAGTTGTATTGTTATGAACAAACCTTTCTGTCCGTCTCTGTTTGAACAGCATGCTAGCCTGTCCACTTTGTTCAGATGTTGAAATCAAGTGACCTAACTAATAAGAACGAGTTGCCAATTCCTTATATAAATTGTATTTTAAGCTCATTGCACTTTTATAAAACATAGACTAGATGGCTAGTATTACAGTCTGTGGCTAAAATTCTACTAGCAGTACGTGGTACCGCAATGCAGCACAACAGAAACTGAACATTCATTTTCCAGAATCAATGTTCACTGTAGCCCTTGATCATGACTCTCAGTTCCATTACATTACACATAAGAGTCATTGGACGAAGGTGTCTTCTGTAAGGGGGGGGGGGGGTTTGTTAAGAGCCCAGACGCTCAATCTGAACATTAACACGCGTCGCTTGCTGCAGTACGGTTTTGGAAGCATAAGGACGTTACCTTTCATATCAGAAAAAAAAAAAAACGAAAGGTTAAATTGATACACACCTTGATAGGGTTAGGGTTGCCACATGGCCATATCTCCATGTTATAGCACTTGCTTACGAAAGACAAGAGGCGAGCACCTGTGCTAATTAGCTATCTAGCTGCTCTGAACACCTGTGTGCAAGCATAACTCGGGAAGTGTAGCGGAAGTCTAGTTTTGTCGGATGGAGGCAACCATATCTGTATGAATCTGTGCAAAACTGCTACAGTAAGTGTATATTTTTTTATTTAAAGGATTCTTTCTCGCTGATGAAAGATAAGGGCCATATGTTGTTTCGAAAGCCGTATCGCAAGCAATGACTATTGCATCGTCGGGATTGTAGTTCACATGAGGTAGTCGTGGGCGAAGCTAATGGCTGAAAACAGAAGGCAGAATGCTGCCTAGATTTTGAGAGCTATGTTCATTGATACTCCCATTTTAGTAGGGCCTGTTCTTCGCGCAATTTGAGAAGTTGAAACATACAAAGGGTATCGATAGGGTCCTGGGTGGCGCAGCGGTCACCACTACAGCCTGGGGTTCAATCCCAGGCTGTGTCACTACCGGTCGTGACCGCGTGCCCCATAGGACGGCGCACAATTAGCCCAGCGCCCCTCGGCTCATCGTGCTCTAGCGACTCCTTGTGACAGGGCCGGGCACCTGCAAGCTGATTTCGGACGTCAGTCGAACAATGTTTCCTCCGACACATTGGGGCGGCTGACATCCGGGTTAAGCGAGCAGTGTGATAAGAAGTAGGCGGCTGAAAATGTTTAGGAGGACGCATGACTCGACCTAAGCCTCTCACGAGCCCACTGAGGAGTTGCAGAGATGAGCAAGGGACCTAATTCGGGGAGAAAACAGGGTAAAAAACTATGCTTGTGGCCATAGCACCCTGAACACTAGGGGTCACTTCAGGGTTGGGCCTGGTTAAGACTGAGATGGCAGACCCCATGGGAATACCAGGTGCTGTAAGCTCAGTATCGATATAAAAGGTTCACTTTTCCTCTATTACAGTAACATACTGTCTCAATGCGTTTTGGTGTCCATACGATGGATTCTGTTGTACCAAACCTCAAAACCGTTTTAAAGCAAATTTGCTGCAATTATACACATTTTGCCGTAGGGTGGAGAGAAATGTTTACAGTTTTTACTATGATATCTGAGTGAGAGTGACTAAAAAATTAATGGGGTTCCCCCGTTCAGTAATTCAACCATGATTACTACAAGTTTAGATAGCTGGCTGCTACACTAACTTACCAATCAATTTATTTTTAGACATGGGCTAATGTGACTGTCAGTGACTGACATAAGATAAAAAACTGCTGATGCACAACCAGATTTCCAAATTGCACCTAAATAAAGAAAGAATATAATATAATAATATCTATATTATTTGGTGGAAATTGATCACAGGACCTACAAAAGGGGGGCCGCCAGTTGCCCATCCCTGGAGTAGACTGATAGACCAACAGAGCAAACCGATAATACTGTTATAACCAAAGGTATCTGGCACATTTAACCCCACATACATCCACATAGTCAGCTACACATGTTCGCCCCATCCTTACAGCAGAGCCAGAGCTTGGTGAGCAGGCGGAAGAGCAGCGACATGCTGTCCTGGTTGTCCGAGGTGGCCGTGTAGATGGGCAGGCAGCCAGGCTTCAGCAGGCCCCAGATCCGGATCATCACCATCATTTCACGCAGCATGCCCAGGGACGAGCCGTCACGCAGGAACCCAAAGCCGGGACGCACGATGGAGCCCTGAGAGTGGACACAGGTTAATACGGACAGAGACAGACACACACACTATACTAGCACCAACTCTACATTCGATAGAACGCTACATTCTTTCAATGCAATATCTTTAATATAAAATGTGGTAAGCATGGTTTTCTGGAGCAATGCACCATTTTTCAGCACGTTGTGAAAAGGCCTACACTGGTAGCTCGATTTAATGAAAATGTATGAGTAAATCCACACATAAATGGTGGCACACTGGAGACCCACCTGATTGGGTAGGTTAGCCATCAGGTAGAGCACAAAGTCTCCCACCCATTGGATGAGCTGCTGCAGAGACTGGAGAGGGGGGCCGTCTAGCACAAACTCCTCTGTCTTCAGGTTGATCATCACCTTATCGATATCTACGGAGAGGGGGAAGGTCAATCTCAACCCGAATCACTGAAGTCTTGAAATAAAACGGCCCATAACTGTAGGTACTAGCTAGCAGATACGAGGGCCAGCAATGCAGCCTTAAGCCTACAGTTTCTGTCTGTTCAACAATAACAACAGGTCACTATGTACAACTCCAGCTCGGTTACAAACTGAATAGAGTTCCAGCCTCACATTAAAGCTGCAATATGTAACTTTTTGGGCGACCAGACCAAATTCACATAGAAATGAAGCAGTAGATCTGTTCTGTGTGTGCCATTTCTATGCTTCCCGTTCTTACATTTACTTTTTGCGTCTTTTACATTCGGTTTTGTACACCAGCTGAAAATACAATATTTCTGGTTATTGAAAATATATTTCACAGCGGTTTAGATGGTACAATGATTCTACACTATTGCCTGAATGTTAGCAACCAGGAAATGGCGGAACGATTTCTGCATATTGCACCTTTAAGTGAAATTGGTATCCGAAGCAGGATCTTTCTATTCATTGATTATACAGGTATAATGGTAGTGATGCTAGTCCTCCCACCAGTGTCAGTATTTTTGGCGCATATCTCTGCCAGCCTATCCCCGGGGCTCTTGTCTGGCGTGTTGAGGACGTGGGGCCTTAGCAGGGACTTGAGGGTGGCGCTAATGGCGATAAGGAGGAGCTTGGCGTGGAAGTCGCAGGCTCGCGCCGCCGTAGCCGCCGATAGCTTACAGAGGGAGGCCTTCACTGCGACGATGCGTGTCGAGAGCACCTACCACACACACACACACACTGTATATTAGAAAAACAAACAAACACTTCCATCCTGTCATTGTCACACATTTGAGTCTGTCAAACCTAATGCCATGCAGTGGGGATCCCTGGGTTGTGTTTTGAAATGTCAACTAATACCCACATTTGTCCAATAAGAACATACACTACATGACCAAAAGTATGTGGACACCTGCTCGTCAAACATCTCATTCCAAACTCATGGGCCATTAATATGGAGTTGGTCCCTCCCTTTGCTGCTGTAACAGCCTCCACTCTTGACTGCGAGCCAGGCCTAATCGCCCAACATCAGTGCCCGATCTCACTAATGCTCTTAGTCACCGCAGCAATGTTACAACATCTAGTGGAAAGCCTAGAACATTGCTGTGGTGACTAAGAGCATTAGTGAGGTCAGGCACTGATGTTGGGCGATTAGACCTGGCTCGCAGTCAACGTTCCAATTCATCCCAAAGGTGTTTGATGAGGTTGAGGTCAGGGTTCTGTGCAGGCCAGTCAAGTTCTTCCACACCGATCTCGACAAACCATTTCTGTATGGACCTTGCTTTGTGCACGGGGGTATTGTCATGCTGAAACAAGAAAGGGCCTTCCCCAAACGGTTGCCACAAAGTTGGAAGCACAGAATCTTCTAGAATGTCATTGTATGCTGTAGCGTTAAGATTTCCCTTCACTGGAACTAAGGGGCCTAGCCCGAACCATGAAAAACAGCCCCAGACCATTATTCCTCCTCCACCAAACTTTACAGTTGGTCCTATGCATTCGGGCAGGTAGCGTTCTTCTGGCATCCGCCAAACCCAGATTCGTCCGTCAGAATGCCAGATGGTGAAGCGTGATTCATCACTCCAGAGAACACGTTTCCACTGCTCCAGAGTCCAATGGCGGTGAGCTTAACACCACTCCAGCCGACGCTTGGCATTGCGCATGGTGATCTTAGGCTTGTGCGGCTGCTCGTCCATGGAAACCCATTTCATGAAGGTCCCGACGAACAGCTGACGTTGCTTCCAGAGGCAGGTTGGAACTCGGTAGTGAGTGTTGCAACCGAGGACAGACAATTTTTACTCACTACGAGCTTCAGCGGTCCTGTTCTGTGAGCTTGTGTGGTGTACCACTTCGCGGCTGAGCCGTTGTTGCTGCTAGAGATTTCCACTTCACAATAACAGCACTTACAGTTAACTGGGGCAGCTCTAGCAGGGCAGAAATTCAACAAACTGACTTGTTGGAAAGGTGGCATCCTATGAGGGTGCCACGTTGAAAGTCACTGAGCTCTTCAGTAAGGCCATTCTACTGCCAATGTTTGTCCATGGAGATTGCATGGCAATGTGCTCGATTTTATACACCCGTCAGCATGGGTGTGGCTGAAATAGCCGAATCCACTAATTTGAAAGGGTGTCCACATACTTTTGTATATATAGTGTATATTTCAATTTCACTACGGTGTGCCCTACTGAACACGACCCTGGTCCACCTACCTGCTGCAGGGCTTGGTTCTGTCTCATGTACTCCTCATGGAGCTTCTCCACCAGGTTATGGACCATGCCCGGCTGCACATGGAGCAGCACATCCCACCAGTCGTAGCCCGTCACCATGCAGTACTCCAGCAGGAACAGCAGGTGGCGCAGCAGTGTGTTCATGTCCAACATCTGGCCCATGGAGGGAGACACGCGGATCATGTGCAGCTGAGGAGGGAAAAAGAGCCAAAAGGGGAGATCTAAAATATTGGTGGAGTTTTTTTGTTGCTGTTCATATCTGGGGGCTCGCCTGGGATGATTACCAGAATTAAGGACAGCGATATGGATAGCTTATTGTTGTAAAAGAGGATAAAGTTATTGGAGTTTTTATTTTGCCTTTAGACCATACACTGCTGTAAGCTTTAACACCAATGGCTGGTCGACATTCAAGGGACATTGAAGGTAGAAATTATCTATTTTTCCTTTTTCAAAAACATAAGCCATCTAAGCTACACAACATCTACCTAGATAAAATGGGTGATGAGGTGCTGATATGTTAAATCCCTACAACTTATCCAGAATGCCGCAGCCCGTCTGGTGTTCAACCTTCCCAAGTTCTCGCACGTTACCCTGCTCCTCCGCACACTCCACTGGCTTCCAGTTGAAGCTCGCATCTGCTACAAGACCATGGTGCTTGCCTACGGAGCTGTGAGGGGAACGGCACCTCCGTACCTTCAGGCTCTGATCAGTCCCTACACCCACACGAGGGCATTGCGTTCATCCACCTCTGGCCTGCTGGCTCCCCTACCTCTGCGGAAGCACAGTCCCGCTCAGCCCAGTCAAAACTGTTCGCTGCTCTGGCACCCCAATGGTGGAACAAGCTCCCTCACGATGCCAGGACAGCGGAGTCACTCACCACCTTCCAGAGACATTTGAAACCCCACCTCTTTAAGGAATACCTGGGATAGGATAAAGTAATCCTTCTACCCCCCCCCCCCCTTACCCCACCCCACCCCCCCAAAAAAAAGCATTGTAAAGTGGTTATCCCACTGGCTATAAGGTGAATGCACCAATTTGTAAGTCTCTCTGGATAAGAGCGTCTGCTAAATGACGTAAATGTAATGTTACTGTGTGAGACATTTAAGGTCAACGGATCTGAACGCATTGACACGCAATTGATGTGCTCCAACTAGCTAACCTGTGCTACCTGCGCTCACCTTGCCGTGGTTGTCCACTCCGGCCAGGGCCAGCGAGGTCCAGGAGAACTGCAGGGCCTTGAAATGGACGGTGGGGCCGCCGGCACGCTGGCGCTTGATGGCCGGCTCGTCCCCGGGCCGCTGGGAGGAGCCCGATGAGGAGCCGTAGAACATGCCCATGGTGTGGAGGGACAGCCGGTGGAGGATCTGGATGCTGCCATCGTGGAAGGCTAGGGCCAGGCCTGGGAGGGACCACCAGACAGAATCACATGAAATGTAATTAACTTTATTGATCTCCAGAGGTGGACACTGAGATTGACACCAGCAGCACACACAGACAGGGGCAACACAGTGAGTGTATAACATTACACTCACCACTTTCTCTGCCATTATACATCAGTCTGTCCTGATATAACTACAGTGGGGGAAAAAAGTATTTAGTCAGCCACCAATTGTGCAAGTTCTCCCACTTAAAAAGATGAGAGAGGCCTGTAATTTTCATCATAGGTACACGTCAACTATGACAGACAAAATGAGAAAAGAATTCCAGAAAATCACATTGTAGGATTTTTAATGAATTTATTTGCAAATTATGGTGGAAAATAAGTATTTGGTCAATAACAAAAGTTTCTCAATACTTTGTTATATACCCTTTGTTGGCAATGACACTGGTCAAACGTTTTCTGTAAGTCTTCACAAGGTTTTCACACACTGTTGCTGGTATTTTGGCCCATTCCTCCATGCAGATCTCCTCTAGAGCAGTGATGTTTTGGGGCTGTCGCTGGGCAACATGGACTTTCAACTCCCTCCAAAGATTTTCTATGGGGTTGAGATCTGGAGACTGGCTAGGCCACTCCAGGACCTTGAAATGCTTCTTACGAAGCCACTCCTTCGTTGCCCGGGCGGTGTGTTTGGGATCATTGTCATGCTGAAAGACCCAGCCACGTTTCATCTTCAATGCCCTTGCTGATGGAAGGAGGTTTTCACTCAAAATCTCACGATACATGGCCCCATTCATTCTTTCCTTTACACGGATCAGTCGTCCTGGTCCCTTTGCAGAAAAACAGCCCCAAAGCATGATGTTTCCACCCCCATGCTTCACAGTAGGTATGGTGTTCTTTGGATGCAACTCAGCATTCTTTGTCCTCCAAACACGACGAGTTGAGTTTTTACCAAAAAGTTCTATTTTGGTTTCATCTGACCATATGACATTCTCCCAATCCTCTTCTGGATCATCCAAATGCACTCTAGCAAACTTCAGACGGGCCTGGACATGTACTGGCTTAAGCAGGGGGACACGTCTGGCACTGCAGGATTTGAGTCCCTGGCGGCGTAGTGTGTTACTGATGGTAGGCTTTGTTACTTTGGTCCCAGCTCTCTGCAGGTCATTCACTAGGTCCCCCTGTGTGGTTCTGGGATTTTTGCTCACCGTTCTTGTGATCATTTTGACCCCACGGGGTGAGATCTTGCGTGGAGCCCCAGATCGAGGGAGATTATCAGTGGTCTTGTATGTCTTCCATTTCCTAATAATTGCTCCCACAGTTGATTTCTTCAAACCAAGCTGCTTACCTATTGCAGATTCAGTCTTCCCAGCCTGGTGCAGGTCTACAATTTTGTTTCTGGTGTCCTTTGACAGCTCTTTGGTCTTGGCCATAGTGGAGTTTGGAGTGTGACTGTTTGAGGTTGTGGACAGGTGTCTTTTATACTGATAACAAGTTCAAACAGGTACCATTAATACAGGTAACGAGTGGAGGACAGAGGAGCCTCTTAAAGAAGAAGTTACAGGTTTGTGAGAGCCAGAAATCTTGCTTGTTTGTAGGTGACCAAATACTTATTTTCCACCATAATTTGCAAATAAATTCATTAAAAATCCTACAATGTGATTTTCTGGATTTTATTTCCTCAATTTGTCTGTCATAGTTGACATGTACCTATGATGAAAATTACAGGCCTCTCTCATCTTTTTAAGTGGGAGAACTTGCACAATTGGTGGCTGACTAAATAATTTTTTCCCCCACTGTATGTTGTGTGGGACACATTCAATGTAGCTACCACTTCCCGACAGAATTACTTCATCTTTGGTGGGTTTAATAGTCCTGCAAACCAACATTATGTAAAGGTGTATGCTGCCACCTGAAGTAATCAAGAGTAGATGTGGAGGGTGGATGATGGGTTATTGGGCACTTACCGAGGCCTGGGCAGAACTTAGTGTCCGACGCCACCTTTAAGTCAGGGTTGGAGATGGAGATGGGCAGCTTGGGCAGAGCAACGGCCGACACGCGGTCCAGGTCATTGGTGGCTGAGAGGATGCGCCATTTCAGGATCATCGGCTGTTTCTCGCCCACTGTGGGGATGGAGAGGAGAAAGGGTGAGTAAGGGTTGTGTGTGTGTGTGTGTGTGTGTGTGTGTGTGTGTGTCTTGATGGGGGCATCTCAGTTGTGGAATCATTAACTGGTCTCCTTTCCTTTAACTGTATTGATCTGAAAACACAATGGAGAATGCCTAAAGAGAATTGACTGTCACCAAAGTGGACAATTGGAAACTACTTTAAACTATTGAGATACCCCCTACAGTTATACTTAGATTTTCCATTAGATTACTTCCTGGTTTTTGTTGTTCTCCTCCTTACCTGCTGGTGAGCGATGCTGGAAAATGTTATTAACAGGGAGGCCTTCTTTTCGCAGTGACCAGCACTCTACGATGCTGCCTGTCTGACTGGAGGCACACAACAGCACCTAAAAGAGTATTAGGTTTTAGGTTTATTTAGGTTTTATTTATTTACACCAAAGAAAATAAGAGAAAGACAAAACAGTACAGATAAAAACGGTGTGCAGGTAGCAAAAAAGACAAATAACAAAAAAAAGATTATAATAAATTAAAAGAAGCACATTTCCTCCTGACTGCATGTGCTGCTGCTGCAGGGAGGGGGCAACCAAAGACTCGTTAGCTACAACACCTGACTTGTTTCAGCAAGGAGCAACAAAGTTGAATCATGTTGTAGAGTCCATGTTACTGTAGAGTCCATGTTACTGTAGAGTCCATGTTACAGCAGAAACAGACTCAACCGCACGAATGCCCGTCCATCCTGTCTTAAGTCAGCTTTTTTATTTTTTACGATGATCTTCATCCATAGCCATCCATTACATGGTAAGGTCATTCTGCCAGCCTTAATTAATAAAAAGTATGCTCTACACTGTTTGAATACTGTGGGGGATTTATTATTCTCATAATTGATGGGATGACTAACTTAGAAAGAATGCATTCTGGACTGTGCTGATGTGGGTTGTGTCACCTGGCAAGCTGTGATTGATGTGAAGAGCTGTTTTAGGGGGTAAGATAAGATAATAATTTGTGTCTCCAAATACTAGACTATACTGTTTCTTTGTGATCTGTGAACCATCCTTGGACGTAGGAATGGTGTCTAGGGGAGCTGGCTCTTCTCACCATGACAGGTTGTTATGATAAGAATGTATGCCTGGTAACAGGGATGCGCCAAGGGGCTGGGACTAGCCTGTGCGCCAACGGATTGGCTGAGTAAGTCTAAACCACGCTCAGCGTCTACTCTGATTGGCCAGCAGAGAGCGGGAACTGAGAACTGTCAAGAGTATTTGAAGAACAATCTGAAACAATGGATTAGTTCTCTGAATGCCCTGCGAGGTATTTCAGGGAGCCCGTATATACGAACATCATATTTACCATTGAAGGTTTTGCATTAATTAAAATACTAGTCTATTTAGAAGACGTGTATTGACCTCTTTTGTTCCTAATACCAGATTTGAATTGATGCAACTTAACAATACATATGTTGTACTGGTAAGTGAAAAGCTGGAAAGAACTCCCAATAAAGGATAATGTGTTCCCAGTGTCTCTCACCTGCTCCGAGTTCTCCCTGGTGAGGAACTTGAGGTGTGTGACGGCAGGGTACTTGTCCCTCCTGACCGGGTCTGTGGTGCAGCGCATGAAGAGCGAGGGCAGCAGCTCCGTGTCGATGCGACACTTCTCGTTGACCACGCTCACGCACACCTTGAGTTAGGATGACAATGGACATTTCGAAATCACGACTCAGTGATAATAGCATTGCAATAAAAGTACTTAATCGTACAGTAAACCCTCTTTACAAGAAAATAAAATGCATTAGCATTTGTAGTGTCGCTTGCCAGACTTACCAGAGACACGGCGACTGGCTAACACTTCTGGTGTTAGCCAGTAATGAAAAAATATAATGTTGTAATATCATTGCTAGCTAATACCTTGTAGAACTGCACAGGTGAGGAGCTACTGCCGTCCGTGGCCGCCACCACGATGTTGCCCCCGCCGGTGAAGGCGATGTCGGCCAGGGCAACACGGCCCCTCAGGCGACACAGGCTCTCGCTAGCTGTAAGCAGCTGACCGTTGGGCTTCAGCAGGGACACAGTGACCAGGCCGCTTACCGTCACTGCCATCCAGCCCTCCATTGGCTTACCCCCGAACAGCGTGAGCGATGGCGAGAACTTGACTCGTGAAAACTTCTCCCCGAAGTTGGTGGAGCCCGACTGTGGGGGAAGGTTGGAGGAGAGGTAGAAAGAGAGTGGGGTGTAGCACATTTCAACAAACTAAGTGGCAAATTACAGTTATATGTCCGTATATGGTTGTTATATGAAGTGCTCCACAGCCAGTGTACAGCACCCCTGCCAAATAATGGTATATATAGTATTGGCATATCTCAAGAGCTTTAACCCCTTACACTCGTGGGAATTGGCCTACATGGATAGGGCTAAATTGACTAACAGAAGAAACATGGAAAGCATATGCATAACCATTGTAGAAATTAAAAAGGGAACAATTTGGAGATTATGGGAAAATTATTAGACTAAAAAGGTGAGGACACAACAGTTCACCTGACAAGACTGAATCCAAACATTACAATGTTGATTTTATGTGCATTTTACATTTACTGTACTTCTTGCAGCATTTGTTGATAACGAAATCTGAAAATACTCTGGATACATTCAGTAACATAATAAGAATATTCTTGGAATATTTGGGGTAGGTGCAACATAAGACAAGAAAATGACAAGGGTTTGAGTGAGAGGCCTAACTGGTGTTTCCAAGTGGCCACATTACCTCTCCAAAGTGTGCACAGTTCCTAAGTAATTTTAATGCACTTTTATGACTAAAAAAAAGTATTCAACTATAAGGTGCATTTTTTAGCTCTCCTAGCTGTGCCACAGGGGAACTAGAGCAAGCACACAAAGTTGTTTTGATGTAAACCCAGCCCTGCATTCCCGCCTTTACACAATTACTGTTGTTGCTTACTAAATCCAAAACCTGTCCATTTTAAATCGCAATCTGGGTCAGGTGGGCATAATTTGAAAGCTTGTTCTATTGCCAACATGACTAGCTAAATTATAAAATACGATTTTACAGTGTTAGGCTTTCATAAGGCAATTCAGAGAAGCAAATTGTAATTTTGGTGCGCATAGAATGAAGGCATGAGTGCATTCTGATGCGTGGTCCGCGGCAACTTTTCTTCAAAATTAAACAAACATAGGCTCATTCTGTTCAGGACAACCCAGGGTGTAACGCCATGTCATCTTGTAACTGTACATCAAACATAGTGTTCATAAACGTTGACACTGTATATTACATACGTTTTATGATATGGAAATGTGAAGTGCACATTTGGACTCACGGGTGTTTGGCTTGCTTGTATGACATCAAAGCGGTATTTATTATCATCCTCAACGTATCATCTTTCAAAATACATTGAGTCCTCGTAATTGACAGCATTTCCCTCACTCAGACAACAAAACATTTGCAAAAGTTGCCCAATTAGCGGGAGGAATGGTGGCAACTTCTTGTCGTGCGCAGTGCTCAAGTTAAGAACGGCTGTCAGTCAAAACCCATACAGCGCTGTGAAGCTGAGACCCTGAGCTCTGACATCATGTATAGCATGTTCCTGTACAGCCACTGCATTCCAATGTAGGCGCTTATCAGTGTCCAAATCTGCCATTTTCAACCCGTATACGGGTACGAGTGTAAAGGGTTAAACTTGTCTATAAAATACTGACAAAGTAATAAATCATAAGGTCCACACAGACAGTTGAGAAGAGCTGGTAGACTGTGTGAATATGAGAACATGCTGGTCCATTACCATCTCCACATGCAGAGCCAGCTTGACTCCATTGTGCAGCCAGGACAGAGCTACGATGGGGTCTCCGTCCACTGCACTCCCTAGTGAACTCTCCCAGCTGTTGACCAGGTGATCTGCCATCGCCCAGCACTTGATCTGCCCGTCTCCATCAGCAGACAGCAACCTGGAACCTGGAACACACAGACACATGAACGGATGCAATCGAGCGTGCACACACACACCCCCACACAACCTTTTAACTCAATACACTAGGGACACTTCCTGGCATTCTATTGAGTTCCACATCAGTCTATCTGGACTGATAGGGCAGTTGCACCTTTACAGGAATAATCCACTCAAACTACTTTGTGGTATTTTCTTCATTAGTCCACTGTTGATACAGTCCCAAAATGTTTTCCTTTCAGCAATCAAGTTTTCAATAACTTGCCACATCATCATGATGATGCAAAATGCATCATATGATGTAAAGCGTATCATCATGATTATGTAGCAAGTTACAATTTGCTTTTTGAAAGACCTATATCTTGAGAAATTGATTGCTGAATGCAAAACATTTTGGGATTGTATCAACAGTGGACTAATTAAAAAAATACCAAAGGATAGTTTTTGAGTGGATTATTCTTTTAAGGGTGGATTTGGTGTTGCTACTATGTCGACCCACCTGATTGGTCCCACTCCAGACAGGATATGAATTCGGCATGTCCAGAGTTAATGGAGTACACATCCCATGGGTGCTCTGTGTCAATGATGTGGACCATATGACTGACTTCTGAAATAAAGCAAATCACTGTAGTGCATGTTCGGCAAATCAAGTCACTTGGCATTGAATTACATATGCAAAGTGATATACGGATATAGGATTAAAACTGATACTGGCAATGGGATGTTTGATTTCAAATTCCTACTGAGCTTTGCTATGCACAACAACATCAAAACTGTCAGAAGATCAGTACCAAGCACAGTCATGTACCTTTCTCGTCTTCTTCATTTTTTAGGTCTGTCGTAAAGGCAACTAGGTTCCTGCAGGACCAGGCACACACCAGTGGGATGGATGGACAGTGGTTGCTCTTGGGTCTCTTCTCCCACTCACAAACATAGGCCACCTCCATCATTCAACCATACACTTGTCCACTGATTGAGCAAGTATGTTCAGTCCTTGTCCAATCAGAGAAATTGATGTTTAATCAGTCCCTTTGCATGGCTTCATTGGGCTACACTTTGCAGGTATACCACAAGCAAGACATCATTCTAGAAAGCTGGATTTCAAATTTACTTGCAATCGTATTCTTCAAACATCGTCACTTATTAGTTAGTTAGGTTACTTAGTTAGCTAACCGTTATATGCTCCTGTAGGTTGCTCTGGATAAGAGCGTCTGCTAAATTACTAAAATGTAAATATATGCTGTAATAAAGCTGGCTAGCTAGCTAGTAGCTGCTTGCATAAACTACCTGGTTTATAGCAATAATTGTCCTGATTAACAAGCTAGCATTTGCTAGATAGCATATAGCAATGGTAAAATGTAGAGAACCTGACCATGAAGCAACTACATTAGACAAACTTCTAATAAAATAGTAATAATCTAGCTAAATGTAATCTCTTATTCATATAACTAGTAGGTGAGATTTTAAATGTATTTCCTTACCATCTAGCACAGTGCAAGAAATCAGGGGTGTATTCATTAGTTGGATCCGTTAAACGTTTTGCAACGAGAGTTTCTATTGGACAAATTGTCTTAAGTCCCTCCCCGTTTCGTTCCGTTTGCCAGTTTGGTTCCTAGAGTAAACGGTTTCCGTTGCAAAACTAGTGAATACACCCCAGCCTACTACAAACAAAATATGGGTCATGGCTAGAAGAGATACAGCTTTTGTCAAATTATTATCAGATTTCCCTTTTCATAGCAGGTTAGGATAATTTTACGCAGCAGATTTTGATAATTAGGTTAAGGTTAGGAAAAGGGTTAGCTAAAATGCAACAAAATTTAACTTTTGACGTAAATTTGACAAAATATGGATACCTTCTAGCCATGAACACAAAGATGGTACGGTAGGACCCCTGAATTTAGAAGTATTTTCAGTTGCCTGCAGCATTATTTTTTCTAAATTGCGTTTTCCTTGGTAGGGTATCGTTTCATCGAAAACGAATCACAGTTTAATCTGTCATTTGTATTTACACTTTTTTTTTTTAATGATCTCTTTATAAAACAGTGTATGGACGTTGCATCTACAGAGGGCTCTTGAGCGAGTCGACTCTTTATTTGCCTTATTGTTTTCCAGGCTAAATGTTTGATGCTAAGGAATCGTTGAAAACTGGTTGAGACTATTGCAAACGCTAGCGTAGAATCATACTCGTAATCGCCATCTAAGAAGTCAAACTGAGATGATCGACATTCTCGAGGCGAACTCTCGACTAAAAAGTAACATACGGGTTATCATCGTAGAACTTGAGCGATATAGATAGCTATCGTGAGCAGGGTAGTGCTAGCTAACTTGATAACAAACGTTTTCTTATTTGATTGGACGTCTCTGGTGAATTGCAATAAGACAAATGCATAACAGCTAAGTTAGCATACTATACTAAGAATATACATCGAGACAACATCACAATAATCGTCAATGTTTTTGCCTCGGAAGTTGCGTACTAGCTAGCATGTTAGCAATGGTATGTTAGCTAGCGGGGGTTTGAATGTTGACTGACGCTTAGTTATAAAGGCCTAAAACGGCTGTAGAAAATTGTAAAGAAGATTAACAGTCCCTTATGCGCCATTGTTAGGTTAATACAATCTGTTAGGTTACTACAGTAGTTAGCCGAGTTGTATTGAAACTCATTAGCTAACATTAGCTACGCTAGTGTAGAGCTGGGACGCTTTGGGCGTTTAGTCAGAATGGCAGATACACAACGACTATGTCGGAAAAATTGATGTAACGCACAGCCCTTCTAGACATCAAATTTGTCACATCTAGCAATTGTGACTGTTCTATGTAAACTGCCAGCTGCATTATTGCATTAAGTTAATGCAGTTTTGCACCATCATACCGTTTGAGGTTTTGGTGCCAGTGCCGTTAAATTGCGTACATATATCCACGTTTGAACTGGATTGAGATAGCAAGTCACTATCAATCGTCTTGCAAGACATAAAATGTCAGAAAACCAGGGCAATGTGAACAATAACGTCCCGCTAAATAACAATGGCGGGGCGAACAGAATACGAAACCCTAATATCAACCAGAACCCACTCATAAATGTTAGAGACAGACTTTTCCATGCCCTATTCTTCAAGATGGCAGTTACCTATGCCAGATTGTTTCCACCATCTTTCAGAAGAATCTTCGAGTTCTTTATCCTGTTGAAGGTAAGACTTCCCTTTCACACGATCTTACCTTCATGTAGGCTACAATGTCAAGAATAGACTAACAAGGACGGTAGGCTAATTTGCTTCAAATAAATTGGTTTCGTACATGCGTGATCTCTGCTTCTCACATAGGGTAACTTCTTCCAATGATTACAGAAAATGTAGGTGCTTTTAGCAACACGGGTGTGTTCCATACACTAGCATTGCTTTCTAATGTATTGGGTTGCACAAAATAGTCCTTGGGAAGACAGAAGTTAAATCCAATTCCATTTCAATTTACTGTGCGGATGGGCAGGACGGTTGGTCATTATGGCGGGGAATTTGAGACAAAATATCTAATGGATCTTATTATTAAACAGTTTCCAAACGGTGGGTCTTTTGTAGACCCAATTCATCAATGCTTAACTCATGTCAAAGTCCCTCACAAGTTATTCCTTTTCCACATATGGCGCACGTGCAAGACTTTTATTTTGACTTTAGGTAAGCAGGTCTACAACAGACCAACGTCTGTTTAATAATACAATCCTTTTAGAAATGTGTCTCAAAGTGGGAAGTGAATGGGTCTATGCAGCCTGCCCTCACCATTCTTTACATACTGTGATCATGCCACAGTCCAAATTCCTCATTTGTTTGGAGTGGTTCTGCTACTAATGCTGCTGCTTATGTTTTGATGTGTGGATTAGTGTGGGTGTTAGATCTTAGATGGGTAGAACAAAAGTAATCAACCTCCACAATTTCTGCTTGATTGCATCAGATTAGTGGTTCCCAACTATTCTGACCAAATAAACAAATCATGTAAGTATTTAGCTCTGTGGCACACCACACTGGCACATAGGAATAGAAAAAAAGAGGACTGAGCACGCCCCCATTCTCATCGACAGGGCTGTAGTGGAACAGGTTGAGAGCTTCAAGTTCCTTGGTGTCCACATCACCAACAAACTATCATGGTCCAAACACACCAAGACAGTCGTGAAGAGGGCATGACAAAGCCTATTCCTCCTCAGGAGACTGAAAAGATTTGGCATGGGTCCTCAGATCCTCAAAAAGTTATACAGCTGCACCATCGAGAGCATCCTGACTGGTTGCATCACCGCCTGGTATGGCAACTGCTCGGCCTCCGACCGCAAGGCACTACAGAGGGTAGTGCGTACGGCCCAGTACATCACTGGGGCCAAGCTTCCTGCCATCCAGGACCTCTATACCAGGCGGTGTCAGAGGAAGGCCCTCAAAATTGTCAAAGACTCCAGCCACCCTAGTCATAGACTGTTCTCTCTGCTACCGCATGGCAAGTGGTACCGGAGTGCCAAGTCTAGGTCCAAAAGACTTCTCAACAGCTTCTACCCCCAAGCCATAAGACTCCTGAACAGCTAATCATGAACAGCTAATCATGGCTACCCGGACGATTTGCACTGCCCCCCCACCCCCACCACATCTTTTTACACTGCTGCTACTCTGTTAATTATTTATGTATAGTCACTTTAACTCTAACCACAAGTACATATTACATCAACTAGCCGGTGCCCCCGCACATTGACTCTGCACCGGTACCCCCCTGTACATAGCCTCCCTACTGTTATTTTATTTTACTTTTTTTATTATTGGTTAAGGGCTGTAAGTAAGCATTTCACGGTAATGTCTACACCTGTTGTATTCGGCACATGTGGCAAATGTTTGATTTGAATGTGGAACAGTTAGGCATACTGTGTGGTTTGAGTCAGCACAACAATAACCAAGAAAAACCATAGCATTAGGTGAAAAGGTTGTACATGTGAAATGTATTAGTTCTAGCTACTAGCCACATCATTGTCATCAACAGAGTTGATGATTGACACATCTATTCTACACCAATTTATTATTATTATTATAGCCAGTAATTAGCTTGACTTTCATCATTGCAGTCAGGCCGGCCTTTCCCAACTGTGATTAGGCTTAAACCCGGGAAAGCCTTTGCTTGTGCAACTCGGGGCATAAAGGAACACATTGACTAAAATACACACTTATCCTCATCAGCTCTGATGGTTGCAGGCAGCATAACAGCAAAGACAGGCATTTTCAGAGGGTTATAATTGCAATGACCCTCAACTCAAGGTCTAGTGAGTCATCTTAACAGGCATCACATTAGAGCTCTCCTGTCCTAGCGTTTTTCCATTCGTGTGTGTGTGTTTGGATAAAAACTAGACCTGTGAAAGAACTCAGAATTCTATCAGAGATTGTTGACTATGTTTTTATGCAGTCAAGGTGTGTGTGCATGCGTACATACACTGAGTGTACAAAGCATTAAGAACACCTGCTCTTTCGATGACAAAGCCTGACCAGGTGAATCCAGGTGAAACATATGATCCCTTATCGATGTCACCATTTAAATCCACTTCGATCAGTTTAGATGAAGGGGAGGAGACGGGTTAAAGAAGGATTTTTAAGCCTTGAGACAATTGAGACATGGATTGGGTATGTGTGCCATTGAGGGTGAATGGGCAAGACAACATTTTTAAGTGCCTTTGAACGGGGTATGGTAGTAGGTGCCAGGCGCATCGGTTTGTGTGTCAAGAACTACATCGCTGCTGGGTTTTTCTCGCTCAACAGTTTCCTGTGTGTATCAAGAATGGTCCACCACCCAAAGGACATCCAGCCAACTTGACACAACTGTGGGAAGCATTTGAGTCAACATGGGCCAGCATCCCTGTGGAAAGCTTTCGAGACCTTGTAGAGTCCATGCCCCAACGAATTGAGGCTGTTCTGAGGGCATAAGGGGGTGCTACTCAATATTAGGAAGGTGTTCTTAATTTTTGTACACTCAGTGTATGTGTGTGTACATTGCGTGCATGTGTACACACACTGTGAGCAGGTGTACCAGGCCTCCACACTAGCTAACTGACAGTAGGGATCTGCCTGCCTGCTTGAGTGCGTTACCAGACAGGAGAGAAGAGCGATGCTCTAATGCAGAGAGAAGGAGAGGAAGAGCGATGGACAGCCATTTGCAGAGGCACCTGCCTGTCACTACTGATTGGGATGCGATGGGTGTGAAACAAAATGGCACGTCCCCTATCTGTCTCTGTTGTCACTGACACTTTAGCTTTAGGCATCTTTTTGATATTCTGAGTATTGGCTTCCTGTTGAAGAGGATCATTTTAAATAGACCAGGCTCTCTAGCACCTCACGTTTCTCCTCAGCTGACTGCTCTCTGTAGGAATATATCCTACTGCACCTTTGTAGTGGGCACCTACACTAAGCAGCCTCTGTGACGTTCATTTAGGCCAGGGTTTCCCAAACTCGGTCCTGGCGAGTTTGGGCGGAAAAATGGCCTAATGGTGGAAAAATAGCCTCCTGCCCCCCCACCCACCCCCCCAGGTGCACGTTTTGGTTTTTGCCCTAGCACTACACAGCTGATTCAAATAATCAAAACTTGATGAGTTGGTTATTTGAATCAGCTGTGTAGTACTTGGGCAACAACCAAAACGTGCACCTGGGGGGGTGGGAGGGGGCCCAGGACCGAGTTAGGCAATTTTTCCGCCATTGATGTACAGGATCCAGGGTTGGGGAACATTTGAAAAGGAATTGACCCCAATCCTGATAGGTTCTCTCTCTGCTGCTCCTCAAACCTTGCACGTATGTGAACTATCTTTTGTTTCTGTTTCTGGCAATGTGATTGTCATTAACAGTGTTGCAGGAGGAGAAACATACAAAAATGTATCCTACCTGTGTCCCTTTCAGCGCCATTAAACTAGGGCTGGGAATTGCCAGGGACCTCACAATACGATATTATCACGATACTTAGGTGCCGATACGATATGTATTGCGATTCCCATGATCCTATATGTATTGCATTTCGATATTGCGATTTGCTATTCCAAACATATTGCTCACTATATGTCTGCTGTAGAGAGACGAGAGGGCAAGAGAAAATGAGTTGAAAACATGTTTGCTCACTTTTTTTAAAAGATTGAGAACAAGCTATAAGATGAAAAATACCAGACTTTTGGCGCAGGTACAGCTGACTAGCGCCAGCTAACACTACCTAGCAAATTATCTATATAATATTGTCCAAAATAATATTGCGATATGTAACTATCGATTTTAAAAATCTGTCAATCCCAATACCATATCGCCCTAAACAATCTGTCATAATTGAATGCCCTCCACCCTCTCTCTCTCTTCCTCTACCAGGCCCTGTTTGTGCTCTTCATCCTGGCCTACATTCACATCGCCTTCTCCCGCTCGCCAATCAACTGCCTGGAGCACGTGCGGGAGAAGTGGCCGCGTGACGGCATCCTGCGCGTGGAGATCCAGCGCAACTCGTCGCGTGCGCCCATCTTCCTTCAGTTCTACGACAATGACGGCTTCCAGGGCCTGGTCAAGGAACCAGAGGGAGAGGGAGAGGGAGAAGGAGGGCTGGGTCTGGCCGCGCTGCACCACGAGGAGGAGGAGGAGGAGGAGATGACCCTGGAGATGTTTGACAACAGCTCTGTGAGGGTGAGGCGCTGCTACAGGGTTGCAGGGAGAGGGGTTGAGAGGAAGGCTAAAGGCAGAGACAGACCAATAATTCTGCTACCGAGTGTCCCTGACCAGAATAATGACCACGTAATGACCTTGCATTGTTCATGCCTTCAGAAAGTATTCACACCCCTTGACTTCTTCCACATTTTATTGTGTTACAGCCTGAATTCAAAATGGATTCAATACAAATAAAAATCTCACCCATCTACACACTATCCCATAATGACGAAGTGAAAACATGTTTTTAGAAATGTTTGCAAATGTATTGAAAATATAATATAGGAATATCTCATTTACTTAAGTCTTCACACCCAAGTCAATACATGTTAGAATCACCTTCGCAGCGATTACAGCTGTGAGTCCATCTGAAGTGTAATAATACAGTGAGGGGAAAAAAGTATTTGATCCCCTGCTGATTTTGTACGTTTGCCCACTGACAAAGAAATGATCAGTCTATAATTTTAATGGTAGGTTTATTTGAACAGTGAGAGACAGAATAACAACAAAAAAATCCAGAAAAACGCATGTCAAAAATGTTATAAATTGATTTGCATTTTAATGAGGGAAATAAGTATTTGACCCCCTCTCAATCAGAAAGATTTCTGGCTCCCAGGTGTCTTTTATACAGGTAACAAGCTGAGATTAGGAGCACACTGTTACCTGTATAAGACACCTGTCCACAGAAGCAATCAATCAAATTCCAAGACCATCGCCAAGCAGCTTGGTGAGAAGGTGACAACAGTTGGTGCGATTATTCGCAAATGGAAGAAACACAAAAGAACTGTCAATCTCCCTCGACCTGGGGCTCCATGCAAGATCTCACCTCGTGGAGTTGCAATGATCATGAGAACGGTGAGGAATCAGCCCAGAACTACACGGGAGGATCTTGTCAATGATCTCAAGGCAGCTGGGACCATAGTCACCAAGAAAACAATTGGTAACACACTACGCCGTGAAGGACTGAAATCCTGCAGTGCCCGCAAGGTCCCCCTGCTCAAGAAAGCACATATACAGGTCTGTCTGAAGTTTGCCAATGAACATCTGAATGATTCAGAGGAGAACTGGGTGAAAGTGTTGTGGTCAGATGAGACCAAAATCGAGCTCTTTGGCATCAACTCAACTCGCCGTGTTTGGAGGAGGAGGAATGCTGCCTATGACCCCAAGAACACCATCCCCACCGTCAAACATGGAGGTGGAAACATTATGCTTTGGGGGTGTTTTTCTGCTAAGGGGACAGGACAACTTCACCGTATCAAAGGGACGCTGGACGGGGCCATGTACCGTCAAATCTTGGGTGAGAACCTCCTTCATTCAGCCAGGGCATTGAAAATGGGTCGTGGATGGGTATTCCAGCATGACAATGACCCAAAACACACAGCCAAGGCAACAAAGGAGTGGCTCAAGAAGAAGCACATTAAGGTCCTGGAGTGGCCTAGCCAGTCTCCAGACCTTAATCCCATAGAACATCTGTGGAGGGAGCTGAAGGTTCGAGTTGCCAAACGTCAGCCTCGAAACCTTAATGACTTGGAGAAGATCTGCAAAGAGGAGTGGGACAAAAATCCCTCCTGTGATGTGTGCAAACCTGGTTGCCGACTACAAGAAACGTCTGACCTCTGTGATTGCAAACAAGGGTTTTGCCACCAAGTACTAAGTCATATTTTGCAGAGGGGTCAAATACTTATTTCCCTCATTAAAATGCAAATCATTTTATAACATTTTTGACATGCGTTTTTCTGGATTTTGTTGTTGTTATTCTGTCTTTCACTGTTCAAATAAACCTACCATTAAAATTATAGACTGATAATTTCTTTGTCTGTGGGCAAACGTACAAAATCAGCAGGGGATCAAATACTTTTTTCCCTCACTGTAACTTCACCATGCTCAAAGGGATATTCAATGTCTGCTTTTTTTTACCCATCTACCAATAGGTGCCCTTCTTTACGAGGCATTGGAAAACCTCCCTGTTCTTTGTGGTTGAATCTGTGTTTGAAATTCACTGCTCGACTGAGGGACCTTACAGATAATTGTATGTGTGGGGTACAGAGATGAGGTAGTCATTGAAAAATCATGTTAAACACTGTTATTGCACACTGAATGAGTCCATGCAAATTTGGACTCCTGAACTAATTAAGGCTTGCCATAACAAAGGGGTTGACTTTATTGACTAAAGACATTTCAGCTTTTAATTTGTAATTAATTTGTAAATATATCTAAAAACATATTTCCACTTTTGACATTATGGGGTATTGTGTGTAGGCCAGTGACACATCTCAATTGAATCCATTTTAAATTCACAACAAAATTAGCAAAAAGTCAAGGGGTGTGAATATTAAGTCTTTCTCTGTTTTCTTTTTCTCCTCACTCTGTCAGTTTGAGCTAGACATCGAGCCGCGGCTGAAGCCCTCGCTGAGCGGCATCGGCCTTGGGGGAGGGGGCCTCAACAACAGCCAGGACCTCTCCTTCAGCCAGTCGCCCACTAAAGGTATGCAGCCGCTGAGGGAGACAGTCTCCGAGATTGAGATGCTAACACGAGCAGGTAAACTCAAACCCCCCCCCCCCCCCCTGCCCTACCTACCTGAGAATCCTCAATCCTCTCCTCTCACCGCTTCTTTCTTTCTCTTCACCTCCTCCTTCTAGCTAGCTCCCTTATCGCCCCTTCCAGCCATCTTCTTGTCCTTGGTCACCCCCTTTCTGGCATGATTCCATTCCAAAAATGTGTTCCCTTGTCTTCTGCTCCTCAACGACTTCCTGCAGCTGTTGTTTTGAAGGATCAGACTGTTTGAATCAGACTGTGTGGCCATGATGCCATCGCATCTCCCGCAGTGGGCCCTGGCTGTGCCCAGACAAAGACTGTGTGTTGAGCTGACCTTTTGCAGCTCGCTCCAGCAGTAGCAGTCGAGAGCCAGGCTCCAGACTTTAGTTTAGGCCGTGTTTGTGTCGTGTCTGTGTGCCCTTGCATTGGTTTTAACAATTCTAAATGGCCTAAAGGTTATTTTTATGTGCTACGTATGCATGGTTTGTGTTTTATTGCTCTAAGTCTGACTCCTCCTTTCCTTAATTTGATTTTAATTAAGAGTTTTGTTAATGCGTTTCTGTCAATGTTTTGCCATTTTAGGTGGGCTCTAACTTTATAGTTGAAATATGAGTTGTTCTAATGCAAAGCAAGAGTGTGTGGGGTTGCTGTGTGTTTTCTGTGTTGGCGAGGTGTGGTAAGCTGCACTGCTTACCTGTGAGTGTGTTTCTCTCTCTGTGTGTGTTGTCTTCAGTGTGGCCTCAGGAGCAGTACATAGTGGAGTACTCTCTGGAGTACGGCTTCCTCCGCTTGTCCCAGACCACCCGGCAACGCCTCAACATCCCCGTCATGGTCGTCACGCTGGGTAAGCGGTTATAAAGCCTACTTATCACGGTCATAAGCATGACATAAAACATGATCGTCGATGTCATGAACGGTCTTAGCTAGATGAGCGGTGTTATTAAGCCAGTCCAACACTCATAAGCATGACATAGGTGTCATTAAACAGTCATGTCTGGGTAAGCTCTGTTACAAAGCCTACTATAAACACTCAAAAGCATGCCATAGCATGTGTCATAAACAGTGATAGGAACTAATGTTGCTAAAGTGATAGGAACTATGACCACTGACTTGCAAGTTAGCTTGCCAATGAGCAGTAGTTGGTTAGATCAGTAGTTACCAATGAGCAGTAGTTGGTTACATCAGTAGTTACCAATGAGCAGTAGTTGGTTAGATCAGTAGTTACCAATGAGCAGTAGTTGGTTAGATCAGTAGTTACCAATGAGCAGTAGTTGGTTAGATCAGTAGTTACCAATGTGCATGCTGATGTACTGTAGCAAGCACTCAACCTCGGGTGGCTAAGATGGACAGGAGCTAGCTGCTGACCTTTTTGAATTATATCAGTATATGGGCCATAGGTCATATTGGCCAACACAATGGTGCTTTGTTAAGCACTCCTATTAACGAAACTCATAGCTGAAGCGCTCTCAGACCACCCTTTGTTGAGCGCCCAATGGCAATCTTTGACATTAGCATTTTAGCAGACGCTCTTATCCAGAGCTTAAAGGCAAGCGCAATAAAAGTATCGCCAGCGAAACACTTCGAGATACAGTGAGGGGAAAAAAGTATTTGATCCCCTGCTGATTTTGTACGTTTGCCAACTGACAAAGAAATGATCAGTCTATAATTTTAATGGTAGGTTTATTTGAACAGTGAGAGACAGAATAACAACAAAACAATCCAGAAAAACGCATGTCACATTAAGGTCCTGGAGTGGCCTAGCCAGTCTCCAGACCTTAATCCCATAGAAAATCTGTGGAGGGAGCTGAAGGTTCGAGTTGCCAAACGTCAAGCTCGAAACCTTAATGACTTGGAGAAGATCTGCAAAGAGAAGTGGGACAAAATCCCTCCTGAGATGTGTGCAAACCTGGTGGCCAACTACAAGAAACGTCTGACATCTGTGATTGCCAACAAGGGTTTTGCCACCAAGTACTAAGTCATGTTTTGCAGAGGGGTCAAATACTTATTTCCCTCATTAAAATGCAAATCAATTTATAACATTTTTGACATGCGTTTTTCTGGATTTTGTTGTTGTTATTCTGTCTCACTGTTCAAATAAACCTACCATTAAAATTATAGACTGATCATGTCTTTGTCAGTGGGCAAACGTACAAAATCAGCAGGGGATCAAATACATTTCTCCCTCACTGTACGTAGTCAGCATAGTAGTCAGGCACACTAAAAAACCTGGTAGAAGTAGCACAGACAGTGTTTGAGGACAGGAGGTGCTGTCTGTGTGAGGCTGCGTATCCTAATCCTGCGTGTGTGTGCGCGCAGACCCCATGAAGGACCAGTGCTTTGGGGACACCTTTAGCCGCTTCCTCCTGGATGAGTTCCTGGGCTACGATGACATCCTGATGTCCAGCGTCAAGGCCCTGGCCGAGAACGAGGAGAATAAAGGTACATGGTGGAGAGGGATGGAGGTGTGTGTCAGTGTTTCTCCTGCATCAGTCTTTCCTTGGTGGTGTGCAATGCTGTGCACGCGTCTGATCGGTGCTCTGTGTGTGTGTGTGTGTGTGTGTGTGTGTGAACAGGCTTCCTCAGGAACGTGGTGTCAGGGGAACACTACCGATTCGTCAGCATGTGGATGGCCCGTACCTCCTACCTGGCTGCCTTCGTCATCATGGTAATATTCGTAAGTATCAGTCTCCACACAAAAGTGTTAAAAATCCTATGTTTAAAACATCCCAAGTGTTCAATTTAGCCCACGAGAAGCCTTTATTTGGGTTCCTTCGTTTCACCAAAACAATTCAACATACACTACCGGTCAAAAGTTTCAGAACACCTACTCATTCAAGGGTTTTTCTTTATTTTTTTTTACTATTTTCTACATTGTAGAATAATAGTGAAGACATCAAAACTATGAAAGAACACATGGAATCATGTAGTAACCAAAAAAGTGTTAAACAAATCAAAATATATTTTAGATTATTCAAATGGCCACCCTTGCCTTGATGACAGCTTTGCACACTCTTGGCATTCTCTCAACCAGCTTCACCTGGAATGCTTTTCCAACAGTCTTGAAGGAGTTCCCACATTTGCTGAGCACTTGTTGGCTGCTTTTCCTTCACTCTGCGGTCCGACTCATCCCAAACCATCTCAATTTGGTTGAGGTCGGTGGATTGTGGAGGCCAAGTCATCTGATGCAACACTCCATCACTCTCCTTCTTGGTAAAATAGCCAATACACAGCCTGGATAGTCCCACTAAGCCCAAGCCAGATGGGATGGCGTATCGCTGCAGAATGCTGTGGGAGCCATGCTGGTTAAATAAATCACAGACAGTGTCACCAGCAAAGCACCCCCACACCATAACACCACTTCCTCCATGCTTTACGGTGGGAAATACACATGCGGAGATCATCCGTTCATCCACACCGCGTCTCACAAAGACACGGCGGTTGGAACCAAAATCTCAAATATGGACTCCAGATCAAAAGGACAGATTTTCACTGATCTAATGTCCATTGCTCGTGTTTCTTGGCCCAAGCAAGTCTCTTCTTCTTATTGGTGTTCATTTGCAGTGGTTTCTTTGCAGCAATTTGACCATTAAGGCCTGATTCACACAGTCTCCTCTAAACTGTTGATGTTGAGATGTGTCTGTTACTTGAACTCTGTGAAGCTTTTATTTGGGTTGCAATTTCTGAGGCTGGTAACTCCAATAAACGTATCCTCTGCAGCAGAGGTAACTCTGGGTCTTCCATTCCTGTGGCGGTCCTCATGAGAGCCAGTTACATAGCGCTTTATGGTTTTTGCGACTGCACTTGAAGAAACTTTCAAAGTTCTTGAAATGTGCCGTATTGACTGACCTTCATGTCTTAAAGTAATGATGGACTGTCGTTTCTCTTTGCTTATTTGAGCTGTTCTTGCCATAATATGGACTAGGTCTTTTACCAAATAGGGCTATCTTCTGTATACCCCCCCTACCTTGTCACAACACAACTGATTGGCTCAAACGCATTAAGAAGGAAAGAAATTCCACAAATTAACTTTTAAGAAGGCACAGCTGTTTATTGAAATGCATTCCAGGTGAGTACCTCATGAAGCTGGTTGAGAGAATGCCAAGAGTGTGCAAAGCTGCCATCAAGGCAAAGGGTGGCTATTTGTAGAATCTCAAATATAAAATATATTTTGAATTGTTTTAACACTTTTTTTGGTTACTACATGATTCCATGTGTTATTTCATAGTTTTGATGTCTTCACTATTATTCTACAATGTAAAAAATAGTAAACAAAATAAAGAAAAACCCTTGAATGAGTAGGTGTTCTGAAACTTTTGACCGGTAGTGTATTTTTAATGATAAATTAGCTGGTGCTAACTACTCTCTGTGTTAGTCATGTAAAGAAGAAGGGTGAGATAAGCTTTTGTCTGTTTCCACAGAAATGTGCTTTGCCTCTTGAAAGAGGGAACGTGAAAAGTAAGAACAAGGGATTCCATTGGATGTTTGTTTTTCTCTGTATCTGCAGACCCTGTCAGTGTCCATGCTGCTGCGCTACTCCCACCACCAGATCTTCGTCTTCATTGGTAAGAACACACACACACACACACACCCCTCTAGCAGTCTTGAAAGACAAACTCAGTGCCGCACATCGCTTTGGCCCTACGCCAAACTCTCTCAACTTTAACCCTTTCCTCTCCGTCTCACCAGTGGATCTGCTGCAGATGTTGGAGATGAACATGACCATCGCCTTCCCAGCAGCCCCTCTGCTCACCGTCATCCTGGCTCTCGTGGGTAAGAGTGTCTCGCCGTTTGAGCCGCCATATCTACAGTTAACTGCAACAAGCTGGGTCTTGGTATATATATTTTTTGGTTTGAACAAATGAACAGTGGGTAAGAAGAAACTTTCCCTCTCTCCCAGGAATGGAGGCCATCATGTCGGAGTTCTTCAACGACACCACCACCGCCTTCTACATCATCCTCATCGTGTGGCTGGCTGACCAGTACGACGCCATCTGCTGCCACACCAACACCAGCAAACGTCATTGGCTGAGGTAAGCTGTGCATACCCTCCACTCTCTCATAAAATGAGGGACGGGTCGAGAGAAAGGGCCCCGGAACTATTTGGCGCATTTCTATGATTTCAGTTGAAATAATTTGCTTAGAGCTGCTTTTTCATCAGTCTCTCCACTGATGACTTTGTCTCTCCAGTTCCAGGTAGTCCTTCCATTCCACTGTCAGTCAGTCCAGTGTGATGCTGTTATTTTAGGCTACTCTCTAAGGAGGCTGTCTCTGTCTCTCCCGCAGGTTCTTCTATTTGTATCACTTTGCGTTCTACGCCTACCACTACCGCTTTAACGGCCAGTACAGCAGCCTGGCTCTGGTCACCTCCTGGCTCTTCATACAGGTGAGATACGGCAGAGAAGGAAAGGAAGGGATGGATGAAAAAAAGTAGTGGAAATGTTCAAATAAACTAGAGAAAAGACACACAATCCCAAACTGTAGTGTGATTTCAAAGTGTGTGTGTGTTTACTAGCCCACATACTCCTCCATCCTCCAGCGTTTTGAATACGAAACACTAGAGGCTTTGCCTTTGTTTCAAGAGGCCTACACACTTCATTTATTTAGTACAGAGCTGGAAAGTGCTTTATTATGTTATTGTGCTGTTAGACCGGTTTATCATTCTTTAAATGTTACGGTAAACTAAGAAAACAGAACTGAATTTATTTTAGTGAATAGCAATGAAAGTCATATTGGGTTAGTGGGTTTTTAAACCCAATTAAAAAAATTCCTGAATAAATCGATTTCTCTATAGTAATGACTGTGCATGATGCTAATGGTTTAGCCCTAAAAGATTAGCATCCTAGGCTACATTTTAGCCAATGTAGCGATTCGCCTGTGATTTTGAGATCAGACCACTGAAGTCATGCCAGCCACAGCTCTTGTTCGAGTTTGTAGCCCTCCTGCCTCTCTAGGCCCTGTTTCTAACTCCCATTACTTAAAAACAGACTTATTTTAACCCCTATACCACTCTTCTTCTTCCCTCTATAGCACTCCATGATTTACTTCTTCCACCACTACGAGCTTCCGGCCATCCTGCAGCAGATCCGTATCCAGGAGTTGCTGCTGCAGAACCAGCAGGCGGGCCAGGGGGGCAACCAGACTGCCCTGCAGGACAACCTCAACAACAACACCACCACCGCTGCAGCTGGAGCAGCTCCAGCCCGGGGAGGGGTAGCCAATGGCCAGGTCCGACCGCCAGACGAGCCCCAGGCTTCTTCGGCGGCCCAGGCCCAAGGTACAGCGACCCAGGCTTCCCAGTCTAACAGCCTGGCTGGCAGCGCCACGTCAGAAGGGGCCGGAGGAGAGTTGACGATGACGACGGAGCTGGACTGGATGGCGGAGACGGCGGCCATCATCACGGAGGCCTTGTCCTCCTCCTTGGCCCCCCAGCTGGAGGGGTCTTTGCTGGAGAGCACGGAAGGGGGGTTGCTGGGGGAGGTGGGGGGGGTCATGGTTTCTGAGGCAGGCCTCAGCGTGGTGGCGGAGATTCGAATGGGGGGAGGTGGTGGAGGAGGAGAGGGCACAGATGGCGCCAGTCCCAGTTTGGCTGCAGTGGAAATCAAAACCATAGGGGCCTGCAGCAGCAGTGCAGCGGGCTCAGGCCCGCCTCTTCCTCCCTCTCCTCCAATGGGAGGACTTCAGGAAGCAGAGACTAGCCTCTCTAGTGTCAGTCCCTCCCTTCTTCCTCCTCCTCCTCCTCCTCCTCCACACACAGACTGCAGTAGGGCAGGGGCTGGGGAGCCAGAAAGCCCTGGGCATAGCCCCACAGACTGGGAGCCCAAGACAGAGGAACCCCCCAGCCCCACTCCATCCTGAGCCCCCCTTCTCCAACTCACTCACATACACACATGCTACCACACGCAGAGGCAACATGTCTTCTTCTCCCCCCTCAATTCCTCTTCCGACACCGCAAGATGGCCGCCGTGGCTTTATTACTGTAATCTCATTCTTATGACAGCAAGGAGAAGAGAGGGATGGAAAGCTGAGAAAAGGAGAAGGTGCCCCCCTCCACTCTCCTCTAGGATCTCTGCTACGGAAATGTTTTGTTTAGCTTTTAGTTTCCCCATCCTTAGTGGGACAGTGAATTTTTCCATCCGTCGCAGAGTTTTCTCTCGAATTATGTGTCAGACACACCAACTTTGCTGCAAAGGTGTGGAATCGTTCGGGAAAGGCTACCGTGACATTTTGCCATGTGATGATTATTATTTTTTTTATGATTGAGAATTGATTTGTAAAATAGAGAGGCGGCAATCCTATTGCATTGATGTACAATTCCTTAAAGGATGTTTCTGTTGGTTAGGAGGTGTCTTGACGGGCTTTGGAAATGGCAGTGTACCGTATGCGTTTTCTTTTGAGAGCGCAGTGGACTACCATACCAGTCATCACAAGGCTGCAACACACATTGACTCTTATCCTAGTCATTCATTCCATCTGGTCCTCGAACCCAGAAGAAAAAAAAGAATACAACCTAGAGTTTCTGAGTTGCTCTAGTGTCCGAGTTGGTCATTTGTCTTTCAGAATGGTAAAACATAGGCTAGTAACGTTGGAGGTTGTAGTCGTAACTGGCAACCGGCTCCACAAGTTAGCGCTAGCCCCGAGTGGAGCATCATGGGAAATGGAGTTTACATCCACTGTTCTGATTGTTAAGTAGACCTGCTTGCTCTTGCCTAGATTTTTTTCCCAGTCCACTTCTCTTACGATGATTGGTAGTTGGCAGTTGCTCCCTGTACTTCTTGAGCTGAAGAAGAGCCGCCATCGCTGCGGTTTCTCTCATCTTAACCCCTTTTGAGTGAAACTGCATCATTGCTCCCCCCGGGAGCATTTCTGTGTACTGTCTGGAGACTAGGCCCATTCTCTCATCACCATGTTTTGTGTTTGTCTTTCAAATTAGAATCGCTTCACTAGTCATGTGCAAATGAAACAGAATCAACTTGAAGGCTCGACCGTTGCCTTAAACACCTGTTTCATGGTCTTCAAACTAATTTCAGTCAATATTTGTCCCCATGGCCCCTTAGACTGTATTCCAAAAGAGGAGCATGTGACTGTAAGAAAGAAATACGCTTTATCACAAGGAAGTTTTATGGTTCCTGGCGTCAGCTGACTGAGGCCCACTCCAAGCTCCTATAAAACACAGATCTTTGCCCCAGACTGGCACAAGACAATACCAGGCGATATTGAACAGCTTCAGGGTAAAGTCATTGTACCCAGCCAACCCATCTGCATTACATGTGTCATTGAGATCTACCATTCAGCTGCCCAACTGGATAGTTGTGACAATAAGGCATATATTGGACCCTGGGGGGCATTTAATTTGGAAAAATTATATTTCAAATTAATATTTCATCTTTCATACATTTTCTTGTTTCAAAACCTCCAGAAGATGATAAAGCTGCACTACCTTGACAACCTTACCAGACTATTATAGCCACTGCTATAGAACTACTCAGAAGGCTTGTAAAATGCTACTGTGATGCTAGTTGTATTTGCTAGGGTCTAAAGACAAAACGTTGTTTTCCTTTACCTGTAATCAGATGGACCTGACATGCATCATGCTTCCCCTTTCTGGAACTAGTGAACACGGTACTAACATGGACAGGGCATAATACAAGTTGAGAGGTTTTGACATTGTAACAGTAGTCAATAATGACAGGTGTGTTCGATGTCTTCGTCCTCAGCTGTTTGAACTGAGAACAATTTCCTGACCAGAGAGCTTTATTTTGATGATACCTTATATGATTCCAAATGAGATATTAGTGCAAGTTGAGATTCCCTTGGTGGCCTCATATCAGAGGAAAATTGGTTATATTTCAACAGAATGACGATAATCAAGGGACATTTTCGTAAAATATAATTGTTAAGAGTTCTATTGAGATACGAGGGGCTAGAATAATTTCTGCTCAGTGAGTTGGGTGGAGATGTAGTCAAGGCTATGCAATGGGCAGGACAGAGGACGTGGTTATGGGATGAAAAGGTTGTCCAAATTGTGCAATATGACAAGTCGGTTTAAAGATGTCTTGAGTTCATTCTAGGGGAAGCTATTACTGATATGACAAAAATATGCTCCATCAATGAGGTTTTTAATGATCAGTTGTTTCTTTATCTGTGCCTATATTCCGGTCTGAGAGAAAGCGGGATGATTGTAGCCTTGCAAAAGTTGCTATCCATTTGTAGTTCATTTTAGACAATGTTAAATGAATCCTTCGATCTGTGATGGACTAGATTCCTCATTCAAATGTATTTAACTGTTCAGTAAAACAAGTGCAGTAGAAACATTCTTTGCACAAATTGCCGTTGGTGTGGTTATTTCTGTTTGTGTGTCCTGGTATTGGTCATGGGAATCCTAGACAAAGTATGTTGTCCACCACAATATATATATATATATTTTTTTTAACCTTTTATTTATCTAGGAAGTCCCATTGAGGTCAGGAGACCTCCCTTGTAAAATCAAATCACATTTTATTGGTCACATAAAATAGGAACTTCCTGGGTATTGTACGTTGACATTCCAAATACTGTCACATGGATGTCATGTCACATCCATATTTGGAGCATGTTTATGGGGACACCCCTGATTGACAAAAAGGATCCTATATCATAAAGGAGAAATTACACCCTGTTTAAATGTGAATACATGTTTAGAAAGAGTTCATGTGTATAGAGTTCGCCAGCTTGTAGTCCTAAAAACCGGTAATGAGTTGCCTCTGGTTCAGTCAGCTGTTCCTATGGGGAAAGAATAAGGTTGTGATAAATGCAGAAAATAAGGTTAACGCAGGCTTAGATCTTTGTTCTGACGTTTTGTTCTGAGATAATCCGTCAGTCAACATGACCTTTATGGATTATGAAGCCTTTTATGTGCTTTTTGATTGCATAAATTCTTAAAAATTCACAAAGTGATTCTCATAGAACAAAACGTATAAGATCTCCTAAGCCTGCGTTTACCAGGGAAAAACCCTACAAAAACTCAATTTTCCCATAGGCTTTTTCAACCAACCATGCCTACAAAAAGACGCCAGTACTATTGCTCTCTATACACTGCCAGACATTAAACAGGCCTACTACCTGTTATTCTATCACTGAAATACTCCAGCATTTCTATGAGGTTAAACACCCCAATTTCCCCATCAGTACCTGAAAGGTAAAAATACAGACCACACAAAGTACACTTGACAAGGATTCACATTTCAACCTTATTCACAACCAACACTTCCATCAGACTTTATTCTTGAAAAACATGTTAATCAAGGCCAGTGAACAATATTCGATTTGGATCTCAAAGGAAATAAACAAAACATAAACACACCACTCCTGATTCCTCGGCAGAGTCTGTGGACTCCACATAGCACAGATTGTTTCAGGTTGCTGTCACGTTAATAAAATTCAGTTACCCCCACACCGTTTATGAGCCCCACCACTAAAATCAACAGAGGCTGGAAAAAGGTTGCGGGTGGGTGGCAGCCATTTTGGGTCCTGTGGCAGAGGAGAGAGAGCGCTAGAATGTCAATGGCTCAGTTCACAGAACAGATGCAGCGCCAGTGGGGCTCGGTTATGGGGGCATGCTGGTACGATATACTGTATTCAAGTAGGCCTGAGGTTGCACACACATTTTACCAGCCATATGAGGCAGTTGGGCACCGGAGAGCACAAGGAATTCTCAGTGCCCTGGAAGCTCTTTCATCTATCACCCAGTAGCAAAATGTTGAAAGGTTGGTGTCCAGGGAAAGAGCTCCCATGCTACGGCATCGGGCTCAAAGGAAGAGGATACATCCAAACCAAGGGAATCCAGCTGCTTTCAACAAACCCCTCCCCTTTTAACCCTTACTACAACATTGGTTGGTCTGTGTCCAAACACTAGGGGACATCACCTCTTCTCGTTGGTGTGTCTGGCAGGGGCTGTGCAGACTGTGGGCAGGGCCTTGAGGACAGGGTCTGTCGTGGTGGCACATCGGGTGGAGGGGAGGGATGAGGTGGTTTTGGTGGAGGTGGGGAGGGATGCAGCAGCTAAAACCACGGGGGGCGTTCCTGGCACTATATGTGCAGAGCAGGCGGCCTTCTCCTTGGCCAGAGAAGTCTGCAGCTCAGCCCTCCTGGCCAGAGCCATCCTTAGCTGATCCCGGATCAGGTCAATCTTCTCCTGTAGCTCTTGTAGCTCCCCTGGCCTTGGAGGAACGCCCGAGGAGGAAGATGAAGAAGGGATGGATGAAGAAGAGGAGGAGGGGAGGGAGAGCACCAGGCTGGCAAAGGAAGTCCCGAAGCCTCCATTCGCGCAGACACGTGTTGCCTGGTTAGCCCCGGGGGTAGCTTCCCCCCCTCTCCCCCCTTCAGGCTTGGCCACGGTCCGGGCTAGAAGGCGGCGGCTGTTGAGGGTCTCCAGGTTGAAGTGGACGCGCTTGTTGTCCTTAGCGGCTGCAGCGGCAGCGTCCCTGCTGTTCTCTTTGTTCCACTTGGCCGATGTCCCGGAGAGAGGGGGGTCAGGGGGAGGCTGGGGCTGCTGGTTCTTCTGGATGCTGCAGCTACTGGGAGATAAAAGGCTTGTGTCAGTAAAAAAAGAAAGACACTGGTCTGGTGCGAAATCAACCCCTACCAGTGTGTTAGCTTGCTTTAAATCTGTATCTCAGTAATACAACTGCCTCCTCTCCTTTCCCTCATTACCACTGATGGGTAAAAGGGCCATATTGATTCTACTTGTCATATCACTGATCATGTAGGAAAGGACAAGGAACGTAAAAAAAAAAAAAAAGGTCTCCATAATGGCAGCCATTTTGTCACCTTTTCTCTGTGTTGGTGCCCTGCTTCTTCTTCACGTCCTCATAGGTCTGGTTCAGGGCTCGGTGGATTTTCTGCAGAATAAATGGGGCTATAGTTACACTGACAGGCAAGGGATATGGGTGGGGGGAGGGAGGGAGAAAAGCTCCACACTGTTTTATTCAAAACGTGCAGAATCGACACCATCTTAGAAATTGTAATTACTTTCCCCCTCTCGTTAATAATCCTCCATTGGGGAAGGAGCTTAGGAGACCTCCGGGTACTTAAGCCAGGCAGATTTGAATTGTCAGTACTCAACTTGGACTGGGTTTCCCAAATAGT